AGCACCCTCACATTATAAAAATCCTTATACAGTTGCTTTTGATCCAAAATTAAAATTAATTGCTTCGAATAATCGTATACTTTTTGTATAAGTTTTTGGCATCGTCCTGGAAATAACGCAGGATAATTTCGTCACTCTGATGATTATTTTCTTATCATCAGGCGAGTTTATATACACTATTTTAAGATAATTTTCAATATAGTTAGTGTAGTTGAAAAAGGGTATTCCGGGTAAAAGTAATACTTTGAAAAGCCGTATTTCTTGATAATTTTTCTTTTCACAGGTAAAATTTTTCAACCGTTGACTGCGAGATTTTAAATTTTTGTGTCGCGTTTGATTCGCACTGCAATCCATCATTATTATCTGTTTTTGTTCCCCTTTTTCCTTTTTGCCGGCTGATAGGTCCTCCTCTATTAGGACCTGAAGACGCCAAAGTCTTCCCACCTCACGTCCTCTTTTTTTCAATAAATAAAACAGTTCACAATATAAAAACTTGGAACAAACTAAAATCTTTTTTTTATTTTATTTAAAAATTCTAAAAATAATTATATTCTTCTCAATAGATTCGAAACGAAACGCTTTGATGTTTATGCCCATTTGTCATTTGGTTCAGATTTAGGCGAAAGGAATTTTTATCGGTTAACAAAAAGGATTTAGTGATGAGCCAACCAACAGTTTTTGCAAAATATTTTTAAGACTCTACTAATCAAAACTCACTCATTTTGTGGCTCAATAAAGCATCTGTGATTCGTTATCTCTCAGGCACATAGTTGTGTAGTTAGTTCAATTTTTTCTAAGAAATATTGGGCCTTTTTTCGGTCGTCATTTAAAATTCGTGGAACCAATCGTACGGATTTCTTCATATTCTCGACACAGCCATGGCATTCAAGCCCAGTTCATCATCTACTATTTCCTGTGTCATTCTTAAATCTTCGTCAATTTTTGCCTTCAGCAGGGCTACATTTGTGTCGTCGGTGAAAGATTTCGTAATCAATAGAAAAATGCCCGGTTTGGAATCTTCGAAACTACTTGGAAATGCTCATAAGGGATGATGCATTCACTCCATATGCATTTTGGCATTTCTAGAAAATTTTCATAGGCTTGAGTTTACGTCGAAATCCGTAGATAATGGGGAAACAATTTTTTGCAGTGTTTGTGATGGAATTTCTACCAACATTATCTTGCATTTACTCCTATCCATTCTTACCGATCTTCTTGAAATTTCACATGAAATATCGTTAGACTTTAACAAATTGAGAAACAACTTTTGTATTTATTTTGAAATGTTTTAAATTCTCCCGACTTACGAACATATTCTACGATCAACTCTTTGGAACAAAATTAGTTCCAAAATCGGTATAAAAAAACAGATACAATCAAATTAAAAAGAAATATACTACAAATAACTTAAATTTACAGTATAGCTCACAAAACCACTCTTAATGATTGCATAATTAATAGTAAATATACTTATAAATGTATATTAATTTAATATGTATTAAAAGAAATCAAATAAAATACGACTAATATTTATTTAATCATGTCAAATATAAAAATTAAAAAGTATTATTTACATATGAAAAGTAAATACAAAAGTGAACAAAGTTAAATATTCAATAAAAATATTAATATAAAAAAAATAAAATAAACATATACACGAAACTTTTACAATTCTTTTAGAGTCAGAACGTCGGAAGAGCACGCCTGGGCAGCTGCCTGAGCTTCTACATCAACTACATCGTTGTATTTTGGCGGAGGCGCCGGGAATTCGCGTTCTGAAACGATACAAATTTAATTACTTAATAAATGTAGAAAATAAATATATTATAAAATTCAAAAATTGATAAAATCTAACATTTAGAATATTTAAAAAAAAAATGTATCTACAATTTGTGAAAAACATGAATTTTAGATATATTTCTTAATTAATATTGCATGATTTAATAAATAAAAATGTGATGAACGAAAATGCGTATAAATAATATTGCAGTAAATTCTGTGAAGATTTCTTTCTGAAAGACGAAAAACTGTTAATTAATTTGTTAAATATCTATTATATTGTGGAACCTCGCTTAACGAGCAAAATGAATTGTAAGAAAATAAGATAATGAAAGTCCCGGATTGCGCACTTGCTACCTCATTTTTAAAACTTATGTACACATATTTTCACTATACGATTAATTCACTATTTGAGTAAAAATTCACTGTATTCCACGAGGTTTCACTGTATATATATATATACCTTGGTAAGGTGGTGGATCGTCAAATGACATCGATGCAATTTCAACGTTATTTCCACTTATATCATCTGAAAAGAAAAACAGGAATTTAATTTAATGAATGCATATTGAAAACCACTCACCCGAACGATACTGTTGTATAATTTTGTAGATAAGAATCAGAAGAAAGAGAAAAATTAAAATGCACAAAACTACCATCAGGTCATATATCTCTGTTGATGCCATCATATATGTGTGGTTACTGCTCACGAAAAATATCCTTCGAGACTATTTCAAATGTTGCTCTCAGCCCTCCTTACGAAGATATCCCCACCACGGTTTAAAAACCCTTCGTATTTTTCCGAAAACTGAGACCATCTGGCGTCTACCTACAAATCCTTTTTATGCAATAAAACACAATTAAAGGACAATTACCATCCGTTTTTAACGATAATGATGTTTATTTAAGATTTTCTAGTCAATATATTTACGTTTTCAAAAGAATTTGCTTTACATTTTGAATAACAATTCACTATTTTCAAAAATGAACTAACAATATTCCGAACTATGAACAATAGCCCTTTGTTCAATTATTGTTGTTGCATGAATATGCTTATTTTTTGATGTAACTGTTAACTGTTTGAGGGGCCAGAAATCAGACAACTTCGTCAACTGAATCAACATCAAATGGATTGACATTTGCAGAGTAGATTCGAATGGAAATTAGTCCTAGGCTTTTAGTCCTAGACATTAAGTATTCAGATTGAGTGAGAAAACGAACGGTTATAAATTTTTATATATATATATTTCCTTTATCGTCACGCACAGAAATAGATTTCTTTTGTGCAGAATTGTACAGTCTTCAATTTACAGTCCTAACATTTTTTTAAAATTATTATTATCATTTACTGTAAAAATAATGTTTTTCTGATGAAAACAATTGCTTAAAATGAAAATATACTTAAAATATATTTGATTTACCAACCAAATTAAATGGTATTTCTTTTTTTCTTTTTTTATATTAATAGACATGTTAAAAAAATGCGTGTCCCTCAATTATACTTTTTTGTTTTAATAATTGTAAGTGTAAAGATGAACTTTCTGAGTGATTAGTCCATTTAGAGCACGTTTGTGGAAACACTGCTACTTTCAAAGCAAATGTGATTTCCGAGAACGGAACTGGTCGGTTCGTGATATTATCCTTGTGACCCTCTCACTCGCCAACGCATCAGCCCTTTCGTTCCCTGGGATTTCAGCAGAAACCTCTGACCCAATCCTTTCCAAGAAATTTAACCTGTCCTTGACTGGGAGAATAATATAATTGATTTTGGATGAATATTGCGAAGATTGAATCGCGTCCAACGCACTTTTAGTGTCAGATATTATTACATTCTTTCTCCATTCATTTCTCTGAATTAGTTTTAGAGCCCTGTAAATTGCTTATGTAAATTGCAGATTTAAATTTGGCGCTATTTTTTTTGTTATTTATATAAAGTTGGCCGGTCTAAAAATGTCATATCTACCATTTATGAATCTTTCGCTAATTAAATACCTCGTGGAGGTAAAAACGCGTTTTTTATAGTGAAAACTCATTTTAAAATTATATTGTTAATATAACTATATTTAGTTTAATATTGTTTAATTTGATGGTACAAATTAGGGCTTACAAACATTGATAAATATCTAAAGTAAATAAGTTCAAATTCAGGAAATCATTCACTTTCAATACATTTTTTTTTTGAATAAACAAATATTTGCTAATATAAATAATGCACATTTCTTACAGTAATAAACAGTTTTGGTAACAATCTAAATTAATCATATTTTAGTTCAAATAATCACATGTACTTGACATTACACATGACAAGTATAATATGTTATGATAACGAATAAGTAATTTTGTAAAAAAAGATTAAAATTTTAATAATAAATGAATTAGTTTACTTAATATTTAAAACACAACTAAAAATGTATATAACAATATCTCGCATAGTGCGATTTCGCACTATTTGAAACCAGTCTAATCGTGGATAATTACATAAACCGCATAAATAGCACAAAAAAAACTTGACTGTACAAAGGTAGAAAATAGTTTACTATATTTCTAAAACGTATAATTATTTAATTAAAAACTAATTAAAAAGTCAATGATTACATTGAATTAAGCAAACAACTGAAATTATTTTATACTTTTTTTTTATAATAAAGACATACACAGAGTAGGAAATGTTAGCAGATAATAAACATAAACAATTAACAATAGAAATCAATCAATTTATTTTTGAATCTACAAAGTTTTTTTTTTACATTTAATTTTCAATTCCAGTTTTCTTATAGTCAAGTATTAAAAGTTATATAATATTATACAAATTTAAAAAAAAAAACAATACTTGTTACTGACTTTAATGACTTTTTGTGTAAAATATGTGATTAATTCTATTAATGATATTTAATGCCTCTCGATTCCATGGACTTTCGGCAACGTTTCCTTGGATATCCTCATAACCTCATCGTATTTCGGTGGCAGATCGTATTCTAAAACAAAAGATTAATCATAAATTTATAAATAAAGTTTTTTTTTTCAATAAAATATGCAAATAAGGTTTCATCTGTTAATTGGATTTGAGGTACGTTTATATGTTTCAAATTTATCAGGTAAAAAGTTTCGAAACCTCTGCAATAACGCTATTAATTAGCAATATATGAAAACTAGATTACGTGATATAAAAGTATGGAGATGTTCAACTGTCTTAACAAGTGGCGCCTCCACAGAACTATTAGCAAAGTTTTTACGGCGAATATATTCGCCGCTCGTCCGAAAAGTATCAATTGGTAGTTAATTATAAGAATACAGCGTTATATGAAAACTGCGTTATAGAATTTCTTTAATACAAACGATAAAATGATTACGTAAAATTTGAGATATGTTATGAATAAGATTTTATTAAAAATACCTGAATATGCTGGAGGTGGTGCCAATGTCGATGGATAAATTCCTTGGTGAATAATATCCTCTACTTGCATCCCATCATTCGTGAATCCGGATTCCATGTCACTGGCACGATTAGAATGGATTTCTGCAACCAACATTACACGAGAATACCATCAATTCGTAATTTCATTGAATTGATATATTTAATTATGCAAACCAATCATTATATATAAGTATAAAATGTAGATGTTTTTTTTGTTAATTTACAAAAAAAAACAATATTCTTACCACTTTCATAATGTCTTCGTAGTCTCTGGAGAAAACTGCAGAATGAAATCAGGAATACGATGATTAGTACGAGAACAACGAGCAGTTCGATCGGCATTTTGACATCGGATATTTCTTTGGTGTAGTGAATGTGTTCTTGGTTCTTTCAGTTTTGATATTGATTGATTGCTTCAGATTGATTCTTTGAATTACACGCATACGTGAAATTAACCTGAAATCAATAAAAAAAAATACAATTATTATTATATAATTCATTAGAAACTTTATATGATTCGTAATTTCAATATATATATTGAAATATATTGAATTTACGAAAATTGTAAGGTGGCGCAAAAGTAATGTCATAATTTGAATTGGCTGCCATTTTTGCAGATAACGTCAATTGTCACTGTGCTTTGACATTTATGATATATAGTGAATTAGTTGTCAACAAGCCATGTAGCAAAAAGCAAATTATGACATTATTTATGCGCCACCAATATATATTCAAACGTACGAGAATATCAAAAGATAAAACTTACAATTTTATACAAATTTTATACTTATTTTTCTTTTCTAACAGATGGAAAAAATATGTAAGTCGACAATTCCTTTATTCAAAAGTACAGTAAGAAATAACGTATAAATAAATATACAGTGCTTTTTACTCGTACAGTGAAACATATTCAAAAATACACGTAAAATGTATACACTAGTTTTAAAAATGATGTAGATGCCGCGCAATCCGTTAATTCTTCGTTAAGCGAGTAATTTTTCTTACAATTCATTTTGTTCGTTAAGCGAGGTTCCACTGTACTTAAAAATACTTTATTTCTAAAAATCTATTACATATATTCAATAAATTATTGAGAATCAAAGGTAAATCACTGAAAATAATAAAAATGCATCGACTTGGAAATTCCGTGTTCATTATATAATCTCAATCTATATTTAAACTGATTACAGGAAATTGATGACGCATATAATGATTTTATAATGATATAATTTCTTTGTATTTTATAATGAAAAATTATATATTCTGATGTGGAAAAAAAATAAAAACATTTCATACATTGAGTATTTCCAATTTGTGAAAGCATTTTCTAAATTCAGTTTATACATATTTTTTTTTATACACTCGTCGCAAATGAATCCTTTCATCTCGTCGGACAAACATGTGTGAATCGGCATTAACAATCGTGACGTAAATAGGTTATTTTTCACTATTCCAAATCCAAATATTTAACTTTCGGAATCCTATTTGCCGCCGTTTTATCTTATCTCTCGACGTTCGTAAATAATTCAGGAAACAAGTAAATACATTAAAACAGCACAAATTCTTTAACGACTTCTATTTATTATAACAGAAAGTATCAGTTTCGACTCTCTTTCATCATAAATAGACCAAGAAACAAATGAAACTCATTGGTGTAAACCAATAAATATATTTAAAAAAAATTAGAAATCCTCTAACTTTTAAATTTTAAATAAAACACATAAATGCCCTCCTCAGCTTTGCCACCCTTTCTTCATT